TATCCTCATCCTATCAGATGGGTCTTCTTTAAAAATCATAGGAGTCTCCAGCTCAGAATCTATAATGGGTCCCTGACACCAATGGTTTCCAATCCACTTCTTTGGGCAGCTTCCCAGGCTCTTGAGAATTCTCCCTACCCAGTGCTTGTTCAGGTGTTGCATAGTGACTGATGGCACAGGTTCCCAGGCTCTACCATCTGCTAACTGCATAACCTTAGGAAACTGTGTACCTTTGATTATTTAAAAATTTAAACTCTCTATCAAGGCTGTTTTTCTACTCAAGACATTTCTTGCTCCCTGCCTTCTTCCTAAGATGCCAACATTTTCTGAAGTAATATGTCTAAATATGAATCAGACAGCGCTTGGGTCTCTAATGGAAAACCTAAAAATGTGAACAAAAACTACCATTCTGCTAGGTGCCTAGCAAGTATGAAGACCTGATTTCAAACAACAGTGCTGCAAAACAAAGAAACAAACAACAAACAAAAAGAGAATGAAAGAATTGGAATGTTATGGAATATTCTAAAAGTCATTCTCATTTATTTACTAACATTACTCTGCCAATTAGGTGGCAAATGACTTTTCACATAAAAATTAGGGCAAGGTCTTTCCTCTTCCTCTATGAAACTTACTTTGAGAGTTACACACCAAGTCATGCCCAGTGAAGCATCACAGAATCCTAGGAATATCCTGTACATGTGTGCTCACAAACACATTCAATTGCATATTCCTGCTCCTTTAGATTAGCCTTTTAGCCAAGTTAACGGATTTCTAAAAACTATGGGGGTAACCATAGATAAGTATTGTGCTCTTAATCTGGGAGAAAGTTTGGGTCTATTCCATAAAATAGGAGTGACACCAGGAAGTCTGCCACCTTTATCCGGGTCAAGGCAGTTGAATTTAGAGGAATTTTGAACTGTAAGTCTTTAGAATTTTGATAGTTACCACTCCCAACCCCCCATACAAGTAATAGGAAGCATTGATATCTGTTTGTGCATGGTAACACTATGCTATGCTATGCTATACTTTCATCCAAGTGTTTATTGAACGTCTGCTCCATTGGAAGTAGAGAAACAAACTGAACAATTTCTTCCCTCAGTCAAGAAATCGTCTCTTCCCAGCCAAGTGCTTTACACTAATGCCTATGATGGGTAAGTAAGCAATCTTGAAACTAAACTGTGGAATGGCAGAACTCTTTTGTTTCCTATGTAAATTTTTCTTTTTTTTGCTTTGTCCTATGTAATTATTGACATCCGAGAAATCTCAGCCTACTCAAAAGCTGAGTATAAATTTTATAGTTGCTGATCTACATATTCCCTTTCTCTTTTTTAAATGTTGAGTTCAAATATGATTAACCAGGATTCATGACCTAACTTGCTAATTTCATACTATTTTTTTTGATGGAACTGGGGTTTAAACTCAGGAGTCTCACACTATTTTATGTTCCCTTTATCATTATTACACCCAAAGGTTTAGTATAGGAAGTGTGGTTCAGGTGGTAGAGCACTTGCCTTGCAAGCACAAGGCCCTGTATTCAAAGCCCAGTCCCACCAAAAACAAAAGGTTTAGTATAGTCCTTTTTTTTTTTTTTTTTTGGTGGGACTGGGCTTTGAACTAAGGGCCTCATGCTTGCTAAGTAGGCAGCCCTTTTTTGTGTTGGTTATTTTCTAAATAGAGTCTTAAGAACTGTTTTCCCAGGCTGGCTTCGAACCATGATCCTCCTGATCTCTGCCTCCTGACAAGCTAGGATTACAGGCATGAGCCACAGCAACTGGCTTTAGTGTAGTCTTTTTTTTTTTTTTTTGCGGTACTGGGTTTTGAACTCAGGGCCTTCACCTTGAGCCACTCTATGAGCCCTTTTTTTGTGAAGGTTTTTTTTGAGATAGGGTCTTGTGAACTATTTGCCCAGGCTGCTTCAAACCATGATCCTCCTGATCTCTGCCTATTGAATAGCTAGGGTTACAGGCATGAGCCACCAGCACCCCACATTTAGCGTAGTCTTAATGACAAAGTAGATGCTATTGGATAGCCTCCATGATTAAGAACCCATTCTAGTAACAAGTTTTTCTTTCTTTCTTTTTTTTTTTTTTTTGGCGGCACTGGGGTTTGAACTCAGGGCCTCATGCTTGCTAGGTAATGTTATCATTTGAGCCACCCTGACAACCCACAAGTTCTTCTCTTATTCACCAAGCCCCCCAGAGAACAGAGGTTTCTCTCATACAAGGGGACAGTGGTGGCTACAGTTGGGGATGCTACATGGGAATAGTCCAAGAGTAGGCGCGGGTTGCTCAAGGATCACAAAATGTATATGGAATGACCCAGGGCTTCAAGGGTTGGGTTCAAAGAAGAAAAAAACATTCAGGAAACATCTGATACATGTTATCTCCCTAAGACCACTAAGAAGGATTAAAACTGCAAAAAGATGGAAGATGGATGTTCAATTGTAAAATTGAGAAGGCACACAAAGAAATAACAGCACTGGCTTTTTTGTTTGTCTGTTTGTTTGAGGGCCTCACTGTGTTGTTACTGCTGGTCTCAAGCTTGTAATTTTCCTTCCTTAGCCCCCCAAATGCTGGTTTAAACTTGTTTTATCTTTTTTTTGGGGGGGTGCAACACTAGGGTTTGAAATCAGTGTCTCACGCTTGCTAGGCAGGTGCTGTACCACCTGAGTCACTCTAATATGTTTGAAATTCGGAGCAGAGATTCAAAATAAAAAATTCTTTTCCTTCCTTAACTAGTTATTCTGGTCTATAAAGTAGGAAGGACAATCACTAAAATAACTCTCATAATTATCCCAGAGCCTGATACTAGAATTCAAAAACAAAAACATTCAAAGGTGAAATTATTCACCTTCAATTCTCAATGTGGTCCACATCTCCAACTGCTGCAGTTTACTGTTAATGAAACTGTGATCCAGCACCACTATATAACCAGTACATACCGAGTGCTGCTCCAAAGACACAGGATAAATTTTGCTGACAAAACTATGTGTTCTAAGAAGCAGAGCTTGAGAGATTAGTAATTTCTTAACTAAGCATGTTGCAAAAATAGGGTTAGATGTGAAAAGCATTCTTAATCTGATAATCACTTATAGAAAATGTTGGTGATTTCTGTAGGGAAAACAAGCCCAGTTACTCATAATGTGCCATCCTGGACAGTACTCAAGAGAACAGGCATACTGCACTACTAATTTGGGTCTGACACATATCCAATGACATTTGGGAAGTCATTCTCTTGATGACTTCCCCCGACTTGTTCCCCCAAAGTAATGAAATTATAATGGTAAATGGAACAATCTAAACAGAAGCATAAAGTTAGTTTGTAACCTGGGCTTGGAGTCAGACTAAATTAGAATTCTGGTACTTTCCAAACTCAGTACCTCCAAAGCCACTACCTTTTGTAATATGAGTTTCACAAGGTCTACACAGCTTAGATACAAATTAAAGGCTCAGATTTTAAGGATGAGTCTCTAACATGTCTCATTGATCTCACAAAGCTCACCAGGAAACAGATTGTCCAATCACTTAAAGGAGATAACTGAGGATAATTTAATGGATGTACCAATCATAAAGGAGTGAGCAGGGTTAAAGAAAACCAAGTCAAGATGACAAAGTACTTCAGCAGAGGCCACTGGATCTTTCTGTAATGATGGAAATGTTCTATCTCTACACTAATACAGCAGCCATTAACCTTATTTGGCTATTGAGCACTTAAAATGTGGTTAGTGCAACTAAGCCTCTAAATTCACTTAGTATCTTCTTCACTCCCTCCTTCCCTTTCATTTGCACGCACTATGCCACTGAGCTACATTCTTATTCCCAATTTTAACTAAATAGCCACATTGCTAATAGTTTCTATAAAGAGAAGTGCAGCTATGTTTAACAAAGACCATCACAACCCCTAGCCCTGAAAAGGTTAAGGAACAATTACTGAAACCTGGAGTAACGCAGTGTTACAGCTCTACCTTATAGAACAGGGCTACGCGACTGGAGCTTGTAGCCTTAGAGCGTGCAGCGGCTGTCAACCTGCAGATTATCAGGGGAATAGCTGGGAATACCTTCACTCTTCTTGCCCCCATTTCCTTCTTATAGTGCCTCTGAGTAGTGGCACTACTAGAAACTAGAGGCCAAGAGAGCTGACTGATGCAGTCCACAAAAATAAGCTGCTTGGGGCACAGAATATAGTGATGGCTGGATAGTGAAGGGTAGATTTGGAACAAAACACTTTACCATGTACAAAATAAATTGAAGCGTCAAATGTTTGGTTTATTGGCATTTCTAAATATAAACAAATATAAAATTAGAAAAAGTGATCAAAAACATGGTCTTTAATAGTTGTACAAATATTTCTTAATGTTGGATTTCAGTTCTGTGTGTGCTTAAGAGCACAATGCTTTAATTACATTGCATCAGAGTTTCAGGTTTCATACACAAAGAATTAGGTCAATACCACGTTCCTTCAACTATATTCAGCCCTGTATTCTTTTTTTTTCTAAGAAACTTTTTTTATTGTTTTATTATTCATATGTGCATACAAGGCTTGGGTCATTTCTCCCCCCTGCCCCCACCCCCTCCCTTACCACCCACTCCGCCCCCTCCCTTTTCCCCCCCACCCCCTCAATACCTGTCAGCCTTGTATTCTTACCAAGGATCTGTGTGAAACCTTTTCTAAGGTATAATCTCAAGTCACAGGCCCAGGTTTGGGAAATTTTTGACTTGATTTAGGCTAAAGGCCATTGTAACTCCATAAATGGATTAATCTTGGATTTAGAAATTGGTGGAAGTTCAATAAACTAGACACGAATGCAAATTGCCTACTCTAGGACTGTATGGACAGTCTTCTAGGTATACTTTATTTTTGTACTGTGTCTCTGATTGTTGGTAAATATTTTAATAACCTTTTCTGTGCTCTTGACAGTACTGGGGCTTGAATTCATGGCCTTGTGCTAGCTAGGCAGATGCTCTACCACTTAAGCCGTCCTCCCAACTTTTTTTTAGTGCAAAGGCAAAAAAAAGAGGGATGGGGGAGGCGTGACAATATTTATAGCTAGATTCAAGTTCTATTTGTGGAAACCTTTATTGTCTACTTTAGTGTGTCCTGAAAGTATCCAGTCCAGTCTTTACTGCCCTGCACTTGAGGAAGAAAGGTCTAATGTCACTGTATGAGGATTGAAATAAGTGCCAAAGGAAAAGCAGTTCCCACCACCTCCAAGGAGCAATAGCTGCTGCTCTTCAGGAAGGAGGATGCTGGTATGGTTGTGTAACATTAATGGCCATGGCACACACGTTGTGTCAATCTGATACTCAGAACTCCATCCTGTAGTTAAATTGATAACAGTCACTCCAGGAACTGAGGAGGAATGAATCCAGACCCCTCCAACCAGGAGAAGCTTTCCATTGAGTACGTGAGCTGTGTGGGAGTACCTTGGAGTAATGGGAGGCTGGACATCTATTGGTTCCCAGAGGAATCCACAAGACATTGGTCTCAGAAAGAACACAGAGTTCAATGGCTCCTCAGAAGCCCCAAGACCTCCAGCAATAAGGGCTCCCCCTTGCCAAGTGCAAGCACTGTGGGAATGTCGAGCTTCAGGTGCTTCCCCTTCCACCGGGATATTGACCCAAGCCATTGTCCCTACATGTAGGAAATGCAGGTCACTTAGTACAGGTTCCACCACACCTCGACCCCCATACACAAACAAGTATTTCTGATTCTGATAGTATACTTCTGTTGTTGAATGCCGCCAACACGACAGAATGGAATCGTCTTTGAAGCCAATCTTTGTTACAGTCACATTCAGGTCCTCAGGGCAATTACCCTCCCTTTTATATAAATGAAGTTGGAGAGCCCCCGAAGCTGGACTTACTGGGGATAGTCTCCCTCCCAGAACCAGAACCTGAGTATCTGAGAGTCTTGTCATGGTGTGATAAAGGCGTCCATCCCACTGAGTTCCGGTACCCCCGCTGCATATTTGGCTGCCTTTCCATTTCAAGCCACAGTATCTGGAGAGCAAATGAAACTTGCTCACCCGGCAGTGCCGACCTTCCTGCTCTCCAAATCCTCCTGCACTGAGAATAATGCCTGGGCTCAAGAGGACAGAGGCGTGGCCATATCGCTTAAGGTTTGAGCCCTGACTGTCACCAGGCACTACTCTGGCAAGGAAGACCCCTGCCGGTGAAGCAGGATCTACCCGAGAAAATGAATCCGAGGGTGGAAACACCAGAGTCTGGGTTAGGGTGTCTCCCCTAGACGCTGCCAGAATAAAATAGTGGGCACACTTCAGGTGCCACTCCTCAAACTCATCAAAGGGTTCGAGATTTTCCATCCGCCGGCGTTCTTCTGCGGGGAGAAAACAGCGATAGAATTCATTCATGTCTAGGGCACTGCAGGCCGTCCAGCCAGCTTCAAGGAAGCGGTACCGCTGGGCCTCCACGTCGGGAAAGAGGTCCAGGCCATGCAGGGGAGAATTCAGCTGCTGAAAATGTTGCAGCATGACCTGCCCAAACGCGTCTCGCGGCTTCATTTGCTCGTAGATCGCGAAAAGGGCATTAGGAAAACGCTGGGCTGCCCAGGCAATGAGGGCCGCGGCACTACTGGGCTCCAGGTAGGTGAGCACCGCCTCGGCCAGGAGCAGGGTAGGTGAGGCGACGTCCAGGCCCGCGACGTCCAGGGCCTCGTCCAAGCGCTGGAGGTGCCGCAGGTCCAAGCCCAGGATGCAGTAGTCCGAGCTCTCAAAGCACAGCGCTGACCCGGGGCCGCCGATCCGGAAGCGCCCTGTTAACGCGCACAGCTCCGGTGTCTCTCCAATCCGCTCGGCTTTGTGCCGCGCCACATCTGGGAAATCCACTTCCCACACGGCAGCCCTGGCCAAAAGACCAGCAGTTTTGAGACGAAAATACAGCGAATCCGACCCGGCACCGAGAGACAGAATCTGGGCGCTAGGCGCGTCGGAGGTCGTGGCCGTGCGCATCAGGAAGGCGTGCACGCAATACCGCACGGCGCACGCGCGGACGTAGTAGCCCCGGTGAATGAGCGGTGCACGGCGTGCAGTCCCCCGAACCAGCAGCCCGGCAAAGGCGTCCTGCACATACCCGCGCGCGGCCAGGGAGCTCTTGCTGAGGGCGCTGCTGTCATTGGTGCTCTGTACTGCTCCTGCCCGACGTTCGCGGTTTCGCGGGCCCATGGTCGCCAGAGACTCGGGAGCTACGCCTGTCTCGGTCGTGAGCCACTCCGCCGTTCCATAGTACAGCTCACATAGCCCTCAGTACGGAAGACTCACTCCTCCAGGACATCAGCTTCCGCACACAAGTGTACGTCACTTCCGGGCTGAGTGCACACAGCCAATCAGGATCGAGGGGGGTGTTGCTAGTGCGAAAATTCAACAGCGAGTGACCTTTCTTTGATTCCCGGATTACGTTTTCTCAAGAAGGCAACCCCTTACCTCTCTGACAACGGATGCTTCCGAACACACTTCTCTGCAACTCTTTTGGTATAAGGGGGAAAACTTGCCTAAGTCCTCATATTTGAGAAATTACTAAGAGGTGAGTTCTGGGGACTGACGACCTGACTTCCTTGGATGGCGAAGGAAGGGTTTGGTAGGGGCAAAGAAGGTCAGCATCCCCGACCTTTAATGGGCAAGAAGAGGACGTGCCTTGGATACTAACTAATAATAGTTGCTAATTTATTTAAATGATGTCATCGTGGCAAAAGAGAACTCATTCAAATCTGAAAACAAATCAGGCCAGATGGAAAGGAAGAAATAGACTTTCACAGATAATTTACAGATAGTTACAATAATTTCCCCCCACGGATACATACTGTGTATTCCTTGTATTCTCAGACCTGTGCTAGGTCGACAATAACTAAACCAGTCACCTTCTGTTTCTCAACTGTAGAATGATATTCCCCTCCACTTCCAAAATTAGGTCCTTGAAAAGTCTTAATGGAAGACAGGTGATTATTCCCTATGTCATGTTATGAGTTTTTTTAAAAAGAAAGAATCCTAGCTTGGAGATGTAAGTAGCCATAAAGTTTCTAAATTAGGTATGTAAGAATCATCAGTTCTTTCTAATTTGAGTGTGTCTGAGATGGAGAAATGATTAGTATCTTTCAATTCCAGGGATATTTAGCAAATTAAGAATTTATGAATTTGGTATCTGGCTGAAATAGAGAAGGAAGCCAGCATGACTTTATGGTTAACTCATAGTAGTGCATAATGGTAAAGAGCAGGCATTTTTGGAGTCCAGCCGATTTGGATACCAGAGCCAAGAAAAAGCATGGATCAAGATGAAGATTTGATTACTGACCAATGTCATTTAGCTTTGGTATTTCAAGAATTCATTAATGGTCTTAGATTAATGATCAATTTCTATGGCACAATGAAGGCTGAATCCATGGGAGATAAGTAAATGGAGGTACCTAGTCTAAATTATACTTTCAAAGGGCTTAGCTTTGAAGGAAAAGAGAGACAGTGCAGTAGCTAAAGGAGAATATGAGATAAGAGTCTTGTTTTCAGGTAGAAGCAAATCCATGCTGCACATGCATGTTGTTACGCTAAGGGAAATCAGCCAGTGGAGACAGAAAAGTTAAAGAGACAAAAATGAGAAGATAACTCACTGGATGGAGTGACAGCTTGGAATATACATGAATAAATGGGATCATGGGTATTTGACTAATTCAGGTTTTAATACACTTCTTTCTAGCTTGAAGCCTTTTCCTATTTATTGTCCCTTATTGTTTACTAATCATTCCCCCACCTCAGACATACTTAAGTTAACTTTGGAGGGGTTTTTGCCTTTTAAAGAATAAGTTAGTTGGGCTCCAGTGGCTCATGCCTATAATCCTAGATCCTCGGGAGGTGGGATCATGATTGGAAGCCAGCTCAAGCAAATGGTTCGCAAGACCCTTGCTGTAAAATACCCAACACATAAAAAGGCTGGCAGAATGGCTCAAGTTGTAGAGTGCCTGCCTAGTAAGCGTGAGGTCCTAAGTTCAATCCCCAGTACTGCAAATAAATAAGTAAATTACCAGTCTTTCTTCTTTACTTATATATTAGCATCTGAAAATACTCACATTTGTTAAAATAGGTGAACTTGAGCCCAGAGTGACATTAGAGACAATTTTATCAGAATGTGTGGAAGTAAAGAAATCTGAAGAAAATCCAGGACCTCACTTTACTGACTGAAATACATTGTATGTTTAAACCAAGAATAAGAGTGGAAAAAGATCATTATTTCCCTGCTAAAATCATAATGGAGGCAGAAGAACAGCAACCTTGGAAAACAGACTTTTACTTGGAATTACCAAAAGTGGTAAGAATTCTTGAGTTGTTGCTAATTGTAATGACTTAGATTGTTTCTATACAAAAATGTAAATTTATGGGTGTAATTGTAAATGTTTGAAATTATACCGCTAAATCTGCTAGGCAATTTTTTTTTTTTGTGGCACTGGGGTTTGAACTCAGGGCCTTCACCTTGAGCCACTCCTCCAACCCATTTTTGTGAAGAGTTTTTTCGAGATAGGGTCTTGCAAACTATTTGCCAGGGTGGCTTGGAACTGTGATCCTCCTGATCTCTGCCTCCTGAATAGCTAGGATTACAGGTGTGAGCCACCAGCACCCGGCTTCTATTAGGCCATTTGCCTAGTACAAATATCCAGGTATGATGTCATGAATCTAGTGGATTCTTGATAACTTTTCACTGATTGAATTCTCTTGTTTTAGGAACTTCATGCCCACTTGAATGGGTCTATTAGTTCTAATACCATGAAGAAATTAATAGCCAAGAAGCCGCATCTTAAAATCCAAGATCACATGACTATGATTGACAAGGGAAAGAAAAGAACTTTAGAAGAGTGAGTTTGGGGAGGTTTCTATCAGTATTTTGAGACTGTAATAATTGAATGTAATAAGAATTCAGATTTTCAGAGTTAAAACAAATAGAGTAGGCAGCTGGCATGGAGAATACAGCATTTTTTCCAACTGTTCAGGCTGTTGACAGTATTTTTTTAATGATTTATGTTGTCTGGTGAGGTTTATTTAAATCAAGGTGTTCTTTAGAATTGAAAATTCAGGCATATTGATTTTTCCAGGTGTTGATTCTGGCAGCAAGGGAAAGGTTAAAGAATGGGAATTATGATTTCACACTTAAAAATAGAAGTTACTTTTTATTTTTAGTCATTTGATTATTTTTCCAGATCAGTGTAATTTTTGAAAAACTTATTCTGTAGTTCTTTGTATATCTAAATATATACCTACTACTAGCCTAAAATGTATTAATACAGCCTTAGGCATTGTCTCTTGAGTGACAAGTTTTTGATGACTAGAGTACATTAAAACTTTTAATTCATGTTGCAGATGTTTCCAGATGTTTCACATTATTCATCAGCTTACTACTAGCCCTGAAGATATTCTAATGGTGAGATATGAAGGAATTTTTAAATGATTTAAAAATTATGAATAATTTATGATCTTCTTTTGTTGTATATCATCAAAAGGCTGATGAAAATGTTTTCTTTTTTAGTGACAACTCTTCAAAAGCAGTGTAAGATATTTTCTGAACAGCTAATATAAAAAAGATTGTTCTTTGTAAAAGATATGAAGGAAGAAGCAAAAACCCTATCCATCTTCTATTGGATAGGGCACAATATGGAGGGGAATATCAGGTCCTGTTTCCCATATGTAACATATCGTATGAAATGTTTGATCTCAGATGGGATGTCCCTGATGAGGCTTTATCTGTATCACATAGAAGGCTTAACTGCTTAGGTGGACATTGTAGAGAATGAAGTTGATGGAGTGCTTAGAGACTGAGTAATTGACCCCTAGGGAAATTGTGCCTTCCCCAGGGGGGATGAAGGACTAGAGGACAACACTATGTTCTCTTATCTGAAATTCCAAGATATTAGAGTCTGACATGGAAGACTGGCTTGTGTAATGTTGATCTCAGAAAGATAACATTTACAAATGCCCTCTTTGTAAATGAAGGGAAGAAAAATCTTGTCCGTATTTTTAACTATTAGTTAAAAAGTGGCGTTGGGGTTGTAGTTCAGTGGAAGAGTCCTGGCATAGCATGCGTGAGGCCCTGGGTTCTATCCCTGACGCCGCACAAAGAAAAGCAAAGTAAGAAGTATAATCTGTGTTTCTGGAGAACTAACTTTTTGAGTAGTCAAGAGAAATTTTTCCTTTTTGGCCAGGACTTATTTTTATGATAAGTAGTAAGAACATCAATTAGCCTTTAGAGGAGAGTTAACTCTCATAATCTAATTTAGCAAAAGTTGACTGAGTGGCCACAGTGTTTCAGGCACTGTCCCAAAGGCTTGGAAATACAGAGATAGATACAGTCTTTTGTTCCAGAGTGATTTATAATTAGGTTGGAGAGACAGACCCATCGGCAGATAAAGTCAGTGTAATAGCTCAAGTGATAGAGCACCTGCCTAGCAAGTGTGAGGCCCTGAGTTCAAACCCCAGCATCGCCAAAAAAAAAAAAAAAGTCAGTGTAATGTGGTAATCTGTGTGGGAGACATGCCTACGCATTTATAAGCATTCAAAAGGACACTCTGTAATCAGCCACTTAACAAATACCTCTGAACCACTGCTAGGAATGTCCACCACAGGGGCTCAGGACTCACTTGGTTGATGAGTGTTACAGGATAAAAATGTTAAAATCTTAAATGTCAATCACTAACAATAATACCATGCTCACTGCTTCATTAGTTTTGAAATGAAGGTTTGTGAAAGCTCTTAAACGAGGTGAGAAACAGAGATTCTGTGCATTGGCTTAGAGGTACGGGGATGACCTTCTGTAGGTATTTAGATAATGACATCTAATGTGGCTGAAATAGTAAGATTTGCTGTTACGTGTGCCAGACGCTATACTTAGCAATACATTCTGAAGTATTTTTTGTTCCCTTTTTGTGGATGAAAAACAGACTTAAAAGAGGTAAAGTATGAGCTGAGAGTATAGCTCCTCAGGAACCCCCCCCCAAAAAAAAGAGTCTAAATGTAATTTGTTTAGGGTCATACACAGAGAGTAGCAGAACTGACTGTCTCTGTGTGGTACAGAGCCCATACAGTTTTCCTTTCGGGAACTTAACTGATTGTGATGTACTCTTTTCTGGAGAAGAAATGGAATAGATATTTTCAGTCTAGAGCATAGGACAAGAAAGTTCAAAGAGTAGTTTTCATGTACCTACTACATGGAACAGAAAGGGCTAAATCTAGCAGACAGATACATACCCTAGGGAAGGGTTCATGAATGTGGACTAGGGTTAATGCCATAGGTCCTATTGTGACCTACATAAATCTTCCTCTCTTTGCTCTTGTCCCACACTTGCCAGCAACATTGATCATTTGGTTTCATATGTACTGAATCACACAGAAAGAGAGGGGCTGGTACTTCAAACCATCACTCCTATGAACTGCTGGCTCTCAAGATGTTTTTGTGTTATTCTCAAGTGAGCTGGGTATGTTCCCAGAGTGACTTGGTCCCCCTGGGTCTATTCAGATCTGGGGCAGTGATAAGTTTCAACTTGTAAAGATGAGGCCCACATATTGGTGGTGGCAGTGGCAGCAAGATGAGTTCCTGGGAGTAGCAGCCACAAGGCCAAGTGCCAGCAGGGATGGCATAGAGGTCTCATGGCCATGCTCAGTGGAGAAGACAGTGGTGGCATCTTGGTCTAGGAGTGTCACATGCTTTTGAATGCTGTAATGCTGTTTTGGGCAGTGAACTCTTTATGTCTGGTTTCTAGCCCTCCTAATGAATCTGAGCTACACTTTCCATTGATTTACATTGTAAAAAAATTCCTGCTTGGCTTTCATGGGATAAAAAACAAGAGGCCCAGACCTTAGATTACTATGAATTCACCAAGGTAGTGCCACTCTGTTAGGCTCTGTGTACACAACCAGCCAACCCTCATTCCCTTGTCAGGATACTACATGTGCATGCTTTTGTGCATGTAGTCAAAGAAGATTAAGATTAGGATACCCTGAAGGCTTAACTAGGGCAGTCTGTTGCAGTGTTCTTTACCTGGTCTTTTTTTAATCTAGATTTGATATTTCTTAGAATTGATAGTGGAAAAGGAAAGCATACCTTTAGCAGTTTTTGGGTTGTTGAGATTTGTACCATGTTAGACATAGTTATACTCTTATTTGTATTCTTATTTGTCACCTACTTTTTTTTTAATCTAAGAGGACTTTCCCTAAACACTTCTTGTGAAAATTTAACTCTTCAAGAATTTGTTGAAAAATACTAATTCCTAAATAACTGGGAGAACCATAGCCATGACTTTAGATATTGCTGATACACTATTTAATCATTACATTAGCAATAGCCAATCATTTTAGCTATTTATTTCTGTTTGTACATTTCCTAGCACTATTCACATATAAATGGCTCCAATTGATTTTGCCTTGTTTCTGTGTTTATTAATCTGCTATTCTGAACACTAGAAAATAGTAAAATGGTTAAAATGGGGAAAAGAAGAAAAGATGTGTCTGATGGATTTTAGTGTGGGGATATGGGGGGCGATGGGAGCTGTTTAAAAATGTTGGAGCTCTCTCATGCTCTCCATTAGAGAGATGGACAAAGTCTGTGATCTCTTCCATGTGGAATACTTTCAGCATTCCTTGAAAATCAAATTTAATAAGCCAAATGAAACTGTAGCACTTGGCACTTTCATTGGGACCCTTACTCTAACATTATCAATATTGTGTACATTGCCTTTATTATCAGGTCACAAAAGATGTCATTAAAGAATTTGCAGATGATGGTGTCAAGTACCTGGAACTGAGGAGCACCCCCAGAGGAGAAAACGCTACTGGTAGAATTGAATTACTTGTCGCACATGGACCAAAACTCTTCCCATGTGCTTTGATCATACCCAAAAATTCATGTTCCATTTGTGTTCAGTTCCCCTAGTCAACAGAAAAATTCTATGATATACATTAATGATGTACATTATTACTCTTTTTTTTTTTTGGTGGTTCTGGGTATTCAAGCCCAGGGCCTTGCACATGTTAGGCAAGCTCTGTACTATGCCCAATGATGTACAGTATTAATGAGTAAGTTACTTTTAAGTAAAAAGTAGAAAGTCCAATCAGGCGTTATCTGTTTAAGTGGGGGAGGGAGAGCTGGGCATCGTGGTGCATGTCTGTGATCCCGACTGAGGCTGAGGCAGGAGGATCATGAGTTCAAGAGCAACCTGAGCTACATAGTAAGACCCTGTCTAAAAAAAAAAAAAAACCAAAAAACAAAACAAAATGAAAAGAGAGGAGGCAGGGAGGCGTGCACACATTTCTTTTGTTCTTCCTTGTTTAGTTTTTTCCACTTTGAGAAAAGGACACTTGCTCATTATATTTGCATTGTTTCAAGCAGAGGCTAGTTCTTGCTCCTTGCACTTGAGAGACAATGTCACTAAGTGGATACAGAATCACATTTTATGGCAGTCATTGAAAGGTCAGTTATTCAGTTACTCCTCAGGCACTGGTAGTATTAGGCTCAGAGCAAGCCCTCTCTGGACAGAGATGAGCAGATCCGGATATAGTCTGAGGAATTTCTGAGGAACCTCCTTCCATTAGAAGAGTATCAGAGGACATAGTATCATTGGGTATCTCTTAACCTGAAAAGATCTAGGTCATTCTGCACCCTGATGTGTAGCTTAGTAATCATCGGGGTAAAATTAAAGTGTGGAAATGGGACAAAGAGATTCTTTCCTCACATTTTAAAGCTATAGACTCAATTCCGAGTTATGCTGGTCAGGGTAGTGAAAATGAAGGAGAAAAAACCTGCCAGTTAGGAGAACTTACTTACTCAAATGAAGATTCACAAGTTGGATAATTGCTTTTGTTTTTTATTAGCATATATTAATTGTACAAGGGGTTTCATTGTGATATTTTCATACAACAATGTAATTTGATCAAATTCACCCTCTCTGATACTCTATTATTCCCCCTCCCCCTTTTTAAATAATCTTAATGGTTTCATTATTCTATTTTCTTTTTTTATTTTTATTTTTATTTTATTCATATGTGCATACAATGTTTGGGTCATTTCTCCCCCCTTCCCCCACCCCATCCTTACCACCCCTCTTCCCTCCCTTACCACCCTTACCTCTTGCTACCAGGCAGAAACTATTTTGCCCTTATCTCTAATTTTGTTGTAGAGAGAGTATAAGCAATAATAGGAAGGAAAAGGGTTTTTGCTGGTTGAGATAAGGATAGCTATACAGGGAGTTGACTTACATTGATTTCCTGTGCGTGTGTGTTACCTTCTAGGTTAATTCTTTTTGATCTAACCTTTTCTCTAGTTCCTGGTCCCCTTCTATTGGCCTCAGTTGCTTTAAACTATCTACTTTAGTTTCTCTGCGTTGAGGGCAACAAATGCTATCTAGTATTTTGGGTGTCTTACCTATCGACATATCTTCCTTGTGTGTTCTTGCTTTATCATGTGATCAAAGTCTAATCCCCTTGTTCTGTTTGCCCTTGATCTAATGTCTGCAAATGAGGGAAAACATATGATTTTTGGTCTTTTGGGTCAGGCTAACCTCACTCAGAATGATGTTCTCCAGTTCCATCCATTTACCTGCGAATGATAATATTTCATTCTTCTTCATAGCTGCATAAAATTCCATTGTGTATGGATACCACATTTCTTAATCCATTCGTCAGTAGTGGGGCATCTTGGCTGTTTCCATAACTTGGCTATTGTGAATAGTGCTGCAATAAACATGGGTGTGCAGGTGCCTCTGGAGTAACCTGTGTCACAGTCTTTTGGGTATATCCCCAAGATGGTATTGATGGATCCTATGGTAGATCAATGTTTAGATTTTTAAGAAGCCTCCAAATTTTTTTCCAACGTGGTTGTACTAGTTTACATTCCCACCAGCAGGGTAAGAGGGTTCTTTTTTCCCCCGCATCTTCACCAACACCTGTTGTTAGTGGTGTTGCTAATGATGGCTATCTAACAGGGGTGAGGTGGAATCTTAGTGTGGTTTTAATTTGCATTTCCTTTATTGCTAGGGATGGTGAGCATTTTTTCATGTGTTTTGGCCATTTGAATTTCTTCTTTTGAGAAAGTTCTGTTTAGTTCACTTGCCCATTTCTTTATTGGTTCATTAATGTAAGGAGAATTTAGTTTTTTGAGTTCCCTATATATTCTGGTTATCAGTCCTTTGTCTGATGTGTAGCTGGCAAATATTTTCTCCCACTCTGTGGGTGGTCTCTTCAGTTTAGAGACCATTTCTTTTGTTGAGCAGAAGCTTTTTAGTTTTATGAAGTCCCATTTATCTATGCTGTCTCTTAGTTGCTGAGCTGCTGGGGTTCCATTGAGAAAGTTCTTGCCTATACCTATTAATTCCAAAGTACTTCCTACTCTTTCCTGTACCAGCTTTAGAGTTTGGGGTCTGATATTAAGATCCTTGATCCATTTGGAGTTAATATTGGTATTGGGTGATATATATGGATCTAGTTTCAGTTTTTTGCAGACCGCTAACCAGTTTCCCAGCAGTTTTTGTTGAAGAGGCTGTCTTTTCTCCATCGTATGTTTTTAGTTCCTTTGTCAAAGATAAGTTGGTTATAGTTGTGTGGCTTTATATCTGGGTCCTGTATTCTGTTCCACTGATCTTCATGTCTGTTTTTGTGCCAGTACCATGCTGTTTTTATCATTACTGCTTTGTAATACAGTTTGAAGTCAGGTATTGTGATACCTCCAGCATTGTTCTTTTGGCTGAGTATTGCCTTGGCAGTTCGTGGCCTCTTGTGTTTCTATATAAATTTAATGGTAGATTTTTCAGTCTCTTTGATGAATGTCGTTGGGATTTTGATGGGAATTTCATTAAACATGTAGATTACTTTTGGGAGTATAGACATTTTTACTATGTGGATTGTACCAATCCATGAGCATGGGAGATCTCTCCACTTTCTAAAGTCTTCCTCAGTCTCTTTCTTCAGAAGTTTATAGTTTTCCATGTAGAGGTCGTTCACATCCTTTGTTAAGTTTACACCTAGGTATTTGATTTTTTTTGAGGCTATTGTAAATGGAATTGTTTTATATATTCTTTCTCAGTTTGTTCATTATTAGTGTATAGAAATGCTAATGACTTTTCTGTGTTGATTTTATATCCTGCTGCCTTGCTATAGCTATTGATGGTGTCTAGGAGCTTTTGAGTAGAGTTTTTTGGGTCTTCAAGGTACAGGATCATATCATCTGCAAATAGGGATATTTTGACAGTTTCTTTACCTATGTATTCCTTTTATTCCTTCTTCTTGCCTAATTGCTCTGGCTAGGAATTTCAGTACTATATTGAATAGGAGTGGAGATAGTGGACATCCTTGTCTAGTTCCTGATTTTAGAGGGAATGGTTTCAGTTTCTCTCCATTAAGTATAATGCTGGCTGTAGGTATGTCATATATAGCTTTTCTAATGTTGAGGTACTTTCCTTCTATTCCTAGTTTTCTTAGAGCTTTTATCATGAAATGGTGTTGGATCTTATCACAGGCTTTTTCTGCATCTATGGAGACCACCCCTGCGTTCCTGGGATGAAGCCTACTTGGTTGTGGTGAATGATCTTTTTGATGGGTTGTTGAATTCGGTTTGCCATTATTTTATTGAGGATTTTTGCATCAATGTTCATTAAGGAGATTGGCCTATAGCTCTCCTTTTTGCTGGCTTCATAGAATGTATTAGGCAGTTTTCCTTCCCTTTCTATTTCGTGGAACAGTTTAAGGAGGGTTGGTATCAGTTCTTCTTTAAAGGTCTGATAGAATTCAGCAGAGAATCCATCAGGTCCTGGACTTTTCTTTTTGGGGAGACTCTTGATTGCTGTTTCAATTTCATTTTGTGTTATAGTTCTATTCAGGTGATTAATGTCCTCATGGTTCAGTTTTGGATGATCATATGTACCTAGAAATCTGTCCATTTCTTTAAGATTTTCAAATTTATTTGAATATAGGTTCTCAAAGTAGTCTCTGATGATTTCCTGGACTTTCATGGTGTTTGTTGCTATCTCCCCTTTTGCATTCCTGATTTTACTAATTTGGGTTTTTTCTCTTCTCATTTTAGTCATGTTTGCCAGGGGTCTATCAATCTTGTTTATTTTTTTAAAGAACCAGCTTTTTGTTTCATTAATTCTTTGCATTTTTTTTTGGTTTCTATTTCATTGATTTCAGCTCTTATTTTTATTATTTCTCTCCTATTTGTTTTGGGATTGGCTTGTTCTTGTTTTTCTAGGAATTTGAGATGTATCATTAGGTCATTGATTTGAGATCTTTCAGTCTTTTAAATATATGCACTATGGCTATAAACTTTCCTCTCAGGACTGCTTTTTGCTGTGTCCCATAGGTTCCAGTAGGTTGTGTTTTCATTTTCATTGACTTCCAGGAACTTTTTAATTTCCTCTTTTATTTCATCAATGACCCATTGTTCATTAAGCAATGAGTTATTGAGTTTCCAGCTCTTTGCATGTTTTTTGTCTTTATTTTTGTTGTTGAGTTCTAGTTTTATTGCATTGTGATCAGATAGAATGCATGGTATAATTTCTATTTTCTTATATTTGCTGAGGCTCGCTTTGTGCCCTAGGATATGATCTATTTTGGAGAAGGTTCTGTGGGCCGCTGAGAAGAAGAATGTATGTTGTGTAGAAGTTGTATGAAATGTTCTGTAGATAACAACTAGGTCCATTTGATCTATGGTATATTTTAGATCTAGGATTTCTTTATTGATTTTTTGTTTGGATGACCTATCTATTGATGATAATGGGGTGTTAAAGTCTCCCATGACCACTGTGTTGGAGTTAATATATACTTTTAGGTCCTTCACAGTATGTTGATGAAATTGTGTGCATTGACATTGGGTGCATATAGGTTGATAATTATTTCCTTTTGGTCTATTTCCCCTTTTATTGGTATGGAATGTCCTCCTTTATCTCGTTTGATCAATGAATATTTGAAGTCTACTTTGTCAGAGATAAGTATTGCTATTCCTGCCTGTTTTTGGGGGCCATTGTCTTGGTAAATCTTCTTCCAGCCTTTCGTCCTAAGCCTATGCTTATTTCTGTCAGTGAGATCGGTCTCCTGTAAGCAACAAATTGTTGGATCTTCTTTTTTAATCCAGTTCATCAAACGGTGCCTTTTGATGGGTGAATTAAGTCCGTTAAGATTAAGTGTTAGTACTGATAGGTATGTGATTCCTGTTCATTTATTTTCTTAGTTGTTTTGAAGGTTTGATTGGTGGTACCATAAGTTGAGTTCACTCTCTACTTGTCTTGCTTTTC